AGGGAGGAAGGGAGGAAGGGAGGAAGGGAGGAAGGGAGGAAGGGAGGGAGGGAGGGAGGGAGGGAGGGAGGGAGGGAGGGGTATTGTCAGGTGCCCCACCCAAACACCGGGAGCAGACGCCGGGTTTAGGAAGCCTGCGCGTTCGCCCCGCCCCTTGGCTTCTATCACCTATGGCAACAGGACCGGAAGATCAAAGAGAGGAGGAAAGAGATTCCAGAGCGGCTCCTGCACCATAGAGAGACACGACAGGCGGAGATGAAGGAGGTGGGAGCGCCGACGGGTGCCTTCCGGTTCCCCTGGGTAGCCCTCCGCAACCATAGAGGGGAGAAAGGGAAGGAGAGGCCGGGACGGTCGATTATCACGTGGTCGGGTGGGGTAGGAGAGAGGGATAGGTGGGTGGGAGGGAAGGCGGGACTTCCTGGGTGGTATATTTTCCTTCCGGTTGTTGACCGGAGCTGCTCCGGCCCGGGCCTGTCCCAGCCCCCGCCGCCGCTGCCCCTTCCCCCTTCCCCGCGGCCGCCATGAAAAAATTCTTTCAGGAGATCAAGGCGGACATCAAGTTCAAGAGCGCGGGGCCCGGGCAGAAACTCACGGACACGGCGGGGTGAGCGCGCCTGGAGGAGGTGGGGCGGGCGAGGGGTGGAGGCGGCCTTACTCATTCCTGAAGCGCAGGGGCGACTGTGACACCCCCTTTGCTCACGGATTCTCAGTGGCTCCCTTTGCCTCTCGCTTAGAACACGGACCTGTGCGGCCTTTAACGCGCGCTGGGTGTCAGCGCGTGGGTCCAGCCGCCTTCTCCCGGCTCATCACGCATCCCTCCGCGTCCCGCCTCGACGCTCCCCGGGCGGCCTCCGGGCCCTCTCTCGCGCTTGGCCAGCCTCCGGGTCTGCGCCCAAGCTGCCCCCCGCCCCCAGGCCGGGGATTCTTTCCTTCGTCACCTCTGCCTCTTAGTATCCAGAGCCTCCCTCAGAGCCACCTTCTGTAGGAAAGAGACCTTTCCTAACCGCCCCCCCCAAGGTGTTATTTCTGTCTCCCCACCCCCACCTTCTGCCCATCCCACGAGGGGTGAGGAAGTGGGGAGGCTCCCCGATGGACGAAATAATGCAGCAGTACTTTCCAGACTCATTATGGAATGGATGGATGTTATCCATCCGGTCTCTGCTTGGCGCACACGGCAAGGCAGTCAATATTTATTCTGTGATTGACTCCCTTGCATTTCCCAAAGGGCCTGTTACAGACCTCTGCTCAAGCCACCTACTTTCCTTTTTGACATAGGTCCTTGCCTTCTACTTGGCTGAGAAAATTAAGGCCATTTGTTCTTTGTCCACAGTGGACACTGCAAAACCCTCTGCAAAACCTGGTTCCCTTTCTCTTATCCATTGCTGTGATCTCTGACAAAGAGTTGATCTTCTTGCCAAGACCAGCTTGTTCCCTTGATCCTACCCCGTCTCCTCCAGGAGCTTGCTCTATTCATTTTTCTAATAGCTCTCATATTTTTAGTCTCTTCTATTTATTCCGGACTGTAGATGCTGTACAGATGTGTCCAGGTTTTTCATTCTTAAAAACATTCATACGCACACTTTGACTTAGTTATTTTATAATCTCTCACTTCCAAACTCCTAGATAAAGTTATCTCCCTTCATTGCCTGTATTTCCTCACCTCCCACTCAACCCCTTCCAGTCTAGTTTTTAATACTCACATTCAATGGAATCTGACCTCTCCAAGATTAAGAATGATCCTTTAATCACTAATTCTAATGACATTTTCTCTGTTTTAAACCTTTTCTGACTTCTTGTTACTATTTATCATCTCTTTAATTCTCTCCTCCATTAGTTTTCATGACATTTGTTCTCTTCAGGTTGTTCTGATTGTTCCTTTCTCCCATCCTCTTAGGTATTTTCCAGTGTTCTATCTTGGGCCCTGCTCTCTGCCCCCTCTCAGTAATCTCAGCTTCTGTGGGTCTGATTATCATTGTTGTGCAGTTTACTTGTAAATCTATATAATCCAACCCACGATCTTTTCTTACCTCCAGTCAGGATCACTAGCTGACTGCTAGATAGCTATCTAGATGTTTCATTGGCATTTCAAACTCAGCATGTCTAAGATGGAACTCCTTTTCTTTTCCCTCTATATTTGCCCCACCTCCAAACTTCCTTCTCCTGAGGGCCATCACTGTCTCTCTAGTGACTTCTTGTTCATAAGTTGTGTTTGACTCTTCTTGGCAAAGGTATTGAAGTGGTTTGCCATTTCCTTCTCCAGGTCACTTTACAGATGAGGAGACTGAGGCAAATGAGGTTAAGTGACCTGCCCAGGGTCACCTCGATAGTAAGTGACTGAGGCCAGATTTGAACTCAGGAAGGTGTCTTCCTGACTCCAGGCTTTTGGAGTCTTTGCTACTTTGCCCTCCTACTCCCTACTACTGCCTACCTGCTACTTTGCTGCTTTGCCTTCCTCTTAGGGCAAAGGTTTGCAGTTTCAAAGTTGACTCTTCCTTCTCTTCTCCTACTCCACCACATCTGTTCTGTTGCCAAGTCTCATCCGTTTGACCTGCACAACATTTCTCTGATTTGTCCTCTTCTCTCCATTCACATTAATATTAGCCTCCTAACTGATATCTCCTCAATCAGTCTTTCACACAGCTGTCAAAGTAACGTCTTCTGGCAGTTTGTACCATGTTACCCTCCTGCTCAGAAATCTTCAGTGGCTCCCAGTTACTATTGTACCTAGGATAAAATACAGACTCATCAGCCTGGCATTTAAGGCCCTCACCGATTTAGTTTTATCTTAAGTTTTCCAGACTCATTTCACATTGTTCCCCTTCACATACTCTACCACCCAGCAAACTAACCTCCTTGCTGTTCTCCAAACTTGGCTTTCCAATACCTGTCTCTATCCTTTCCTGTAACTGTTCCCAGGCCTGGAAATGTATTCCTTCCTCACCTCTAACTCATTTTGTTCAGGTGCCTCTCTTTATGGAGAATTTTTCTTAGTGTTTTCTCCTCCTTTATATTATATATATTTATTTGTTTACATATTGTTTCTGCCAGTAGGATGTAATCTTCTTGAGGTCAGGGACTGGTTTTTATTTTGTCCTTGCATTCCCAGTCCCTAGTGTGGTGCTTTGCACTTAGGAGGTGCTTAATAAATGGTTGTTGGTGGTGGTTATTGTTGTTGTAGTTGTAGTGTAGTTTTTGGCGGCAGGAAGATGAGTCTTTGAGAGGATAGGGAGTAGCCCTAGAGAGGGAGACAGGAGCCTGCCAAGGAGACAGGTGTCTTTGAGGAAATGGGGGTGGATCTATGAGGGGACTGTCAGGGTGGGTCTGTGGGGAGATATAGGACCAGGTAGAGACAACCCACCTGAGGGAAATGAAGGAGATCCGTGGGGGGAAGGGGAGATCTTTGAGGATGGGGAAACTATAGGGATGATGGGAGACATGTTTTGAGATAAACCGGATTCTGTGAGAAGATTTAGGGGTTGTTGGTTTGTGAGGGAAATTTGGAAAGAAACATTCCTACTAAACCTTGTGAAGACAGAGATCCTAATTTCTTTGTCTTTCCCAAGCACCAAGCATCATGCTTGGTGTGTAGTACCCTTGTTTGGAGACACAGTGTCATAGAATGCAAGGAAGGCTTCACTTGGGAGTCAGAAGGATGTGACTTTCAGTCCTTGCTCTGACACTTTGTGTAACTATGGGCAAGTCACTTCTCTTTAAGCTTTGGTTTCCTCTTTTGTCAAATGGGAGTGGTAACATATGTACTGGCTTCCTCACAGGGTGGTTGTACTTTGTAAACCAGACTGTAAAGTACTCGAGAATATGAACACAATTATTGATCAGTGAGGTGGGAATCACAGTGAAAGTTGGTTCCTGTCGAGAGTGGAGAGAAGGTCCTGAAGGATTTTTATATATCCGTGGTGTCTTCTAGCTACTCTGGTGTGAACTAAGTCAGCCACGTTGCTTAGGAGCATTCGCTGATTTGGCTTTTCTCGAATGGTGCAGCTGCACTGGAAAAGTCCAGGAAGGCTTCAAAGGAGAGAGAGCTTGAGCTAATTCTTGCAGAGTGGGAAGAATTGAGAGAAAGGGGTAGGGAGACCAGGAAATAAAGGTGGGAATTCATGCCAGTAAGGAAATCCCATTCTGGCTGCCTTAGGCATTCATTTATAGTTATTCAGCCACTATTCAGCTTCTACTATATGTTGGGCACTGGAGGAAATAAACCTAAGACAGAAAGTCCCTGCCCTGCCGGAGCAGAGATCTATAGTAGCTATAAAGTAGAATAAAATAAGCTGAAAGCAAGAGTGATGTCCCAGAATTCCTCCCACCTAGTTTTGAGTTGAGCAGTTGCACCCATTTTGAAAGGAGGGTTAGCAGGTAGGCCTTGGTAGCTTTCATTCCCTCCACTTTGTGTTAATCCTTGATGTATCCTTGATTGGGATCAGCAGAGTGACCATTAGGGGCAGTGAAGCATAGTCAAAGGGGGCAGCTAGATGGCATAGTGGACAGAGCACTGGGCTTGGAGTCAGGAAGACCTGAGTTCACATCTGCCCTTAGACACTCACTCACTGTGTGGCCCTGGGCAAGTCACTTAACCCTTTGGCCTCAGTTTCCTCATCTGTAAAAGAATAGCAAACCACTCCAAATGGAGTCACTAAGAGTCAGACATGACTGAAATGACTGAACAACAAAAAGCATAGCCAGAAGAGCATTGGGTTTAGAATATAAAGACTCACATTCCAGTTGTAGCCCTGCTCCTTACTTATTACCCAGAATGATCTTGATCAAGTCACTTTCCCCTGAACAGAACTCTCCCTATCTATGAGGTGAAGGGCTTGGACTCGATGGTCTTGAAGTCCCCTTTTAGGCACATACCCTGTGGTTCCCCTGGAACTGGCATTATGCTCACCTGCTTCCTTGTCTCTCTTTTAGGGAAAAAGTCCCCAGGGAAAGGCAGAGCCAGCAAGTAACCAAGCAAGCCCGCCAAGGACCAACCAATGAGGCCCAAATGGCAGCAGCGGCGGCGCTGGCCAGGCTGGAGCAGAAGCAACCGCGGTCCCGGGGACCCACGTCCCAAGATGCCATTCGGAACCAAGGTAAGGACTGAGCATCACTACCCAGGCTTAGAGCTCCACTCTCCCTGGGGGAGGGCATGGGGTCCTTTGAATAATGTGTCATCACCCCTAAAGGAAGGTCAGGGATCATCTGCCATGTGAGGTTCAGAGGAGCTAGCTCCTCAGTGTCATGTCACCTGACTGACAAGCCTTATGCATGGAGAAAAGCTGCCTGTGTTAGCTGACTTCGGACAAGAAGGGCCTCTCCCTTGTCTGGGGCTTCTGTCCTGCTACATACAGTGGGAGTGACATCCTCTGCCCTGCCTCCCTCCTTCACGGGGATAATGTGAGGATCGTTAGGGAACATTTGAGATGCGCCTTGTAGGGAAAGAAAGAGATAAGGGTGTGCAATCCTTGAGTGTGGGCCCAAGTCAGTTAGTGTGGGTGAAGTGCCTTGTGTGTGCATGGCAGGGTCGGGCAGGCCTATTTTCTCCTCTGTTATTACAACATATGAGCTGAGGGATCAGGGAAAGCTTCCAAGGAGAGAGTGCGGGAGCCGAACTTTGAAGGAGGCCTCGGGTGTAGGATATGTATAGGAAGAGAACAATAGGAGATAAGACTAGGTGAGATCTGGGGCCAGCACCTGATTGTAAAAGAATGTCAGCTGGTGACAACCAGGGGGCATCATGGTGCACAGAGCACTGGGCCTGCGTTTCAGATGTGGCCTCTCACATGAGCTGTGTGACCCTGGGGCCAGTGACTCAACACTGCCTGCCTCAGCGTCCTCCTTTGTAAAACAGGGACACTAGCAGCACCTACCTCCCTGGGTGTTGTGAGGATCAAATGAGTTCATATTTGTAAAGTGCTTTGCAAATCTGAAAGTGCTTTCTAAATGGTAGCTGGTATTATTACAGGAATTGCAGTTTACTTGGCAAGCAATAGAATGACCAGGTTTTTTAATGGAGGAATAAAATGACTAAATCTCTGCAGAAGGAAGATCAATTTGAGTACAATATGGGTATGAGATTAGAGAGAGTAAGGCAAATGGAAGCAGAAAGCCTGTCGGTAAGTTAATCATCCCATGGCTGTGGGGCTGGGAGCAAATAAGAGGATAGTGCAAAAGACTATATGGAGGCAGAGGCAGTAGTTGGGTATTAGAGTTTAGAGGAAAATCATCGATGACCAAGGTGATGAGGGTGGGATCTCTGATGAAAGTAGTGAAGTTAGAAGGAAGAATACAAGCTTGTTTTTGAACAAGTTGAATTTGAGGCCCCATTGGGACGTCTGAGTGGAGTCGTTCATATGCTGGTCTGCGCTTAGAAGAGAGTTGCTCAGAACTGGTTCTGTAGATTTCGGGGTCATTTGTGTAGGCATGGTAGAAGCAGCCTGAATGAGACTGCCTAGAGATAGGGTATAGAGAAAAAGCTAAGAACAGAACCTGGTAGAGACCCTCTGATAAGAGAAGGGTAAGAGGACAGGCAACCAATGAAGGAGACTGAGGGGGCATAGTTAGGGCTGGAATGACCACTAGGACCATGTGGTGTCACCGAAGTGAAGGGAAAAGAGAGTGTCCGTAAAGAGCAAGTGGTCAGTGGTATCAGACATTAGAGAGACACAGAGGAGAATGAAAATTGAAAAAAGGCCTTTGGTTTGGTGGTCATTGTTGACCTTTGAAAGAACAGTTTCAGTAGAATGCTAGGAGCTGAAGATAATCTTACAAGGGTTGAAGAAGGGAGTACGGAGGTGAGGAGGCAGCAAAACACAAGGTTTTTAACTTCCACAGGTCTAGTGGTAAAGGGGAAGAGAGAGGTGGAATGGTCACTTATGAGACCAGCGCATAGGAAGGAGCCAGTGGTAGAGAGATTGAAGGTGTATGAGAAAGAAGGACTGCTTGCTGGAGCGAGGTCTTAGAGGAGAAAAAGGGGGGGTAGTTAAAAGGGCAAGTGTCACACTCTTTCAGTGGCCAAAAGTTTAGCAGAATGGAGGGAGGGAGCTCACGTCAGAAGCCCTGGGTTTCCTCTGAGGTAATGGCTACATCATTTGCTGTCAGGGTATGAGGCCTGTGGCTACAGGGAAGGTGAGGAGAAGAGCAAAGGTTTGGCATGGGATTTGTAGAAAATGAAGTAGGGAGTTGATGTAAGTAGCATAGGCTTATAGTACAGGAGTAAAGGCCCAGTGGAGGAAGAGAAAGGGGAACTGAATGGATAGGCTGGGGTGATAGAAGACAAACTTTGCCATTTTCACCATGACCTGGGATACTGGATTTTTTTTCTGCTTTTGTTTAGAGGTCTCTGATCCCTACCATGATCAAATTTGTGATCTGCCTAGGATCTCTTCTTGGTGGTGGTGGTAGTGGTGTTAGTCAGTCAACAAACATTTCTTGCCAGGCATTAAGGATAGAAAGACAGAAATGAAGCAGTCCCTGCCCTCAAGGAGCTTACATTCTACCAGAGGAAACAACATGTGCATATGTGCACCTTTGTCCAGACACACCGAGGCATAGAAGTATGTAGAAATAAGTGTGTGTGTGTGTGTACACATATACATATACACACACAGTGTAAATTTAAGATAACTTTTGGTGGCAAGGACAATAAGAATAGGGGGTGGGGACCAGGAAAGGCTTCATAGAGAAGTTATCAGGAGCTGCATTTTGAAGGAAACAAGATTTGAAGAGGTGGAAAGAATTCTAGGCATAGGAGACAGCCCATGTGAAGACCCAGAGACAGGATATGAAGAATCTGGAAAGACAGGTAGGGTGAGGCCAGGTTGTAAAAGTCTTTAAAAGTCAAACCAGGGAAGTTGAATGGTAATGCTAAAGGCAGTAGTGAACCATTGGAGTAGGGGAATGACATGATGTCAGATCGAAGCTTTCTGAAGGGTGGGTGGATGGATAGGAGAGGGGAAATTAGTGCAGTGGACTAGCTGAGAGGTGATTAGGGCCTAAACTAGGGTCACGGCTGTGTGAGTGGAGAGAAGGGGACAGATAGGAGATGAAACAGGAGTAGAAATGGCAGCCGGTTAGTTACAAGGAGTGAGGGAGAGTGCAGAGTCCAGGTTGCAAATGGGAAAAGAGGACATTTTGAAGAGAGGTGGGGTCTTGGGTTGGGTAAGCATGGATTCTATTTAGGACATAATAGAAGCTGGGGTGCCTTGAGGACATCTTTATTTTATTATTTATTATTACATCTTTATATTACTGTTGATTGGTGCCTTCAGTTGTGGGCATATACTGTATCAGCCTTTTATAGAAAATGAGATTGAGAGCAGTGAGGTGCCATGTTTGCTCAGCATTCCACAAACCCTACATGGTAGAGCCAGATCTCAAGCCCAACTGTCCCTCAGCCACACTGCACCCTGCTGGTCTGTTGGGGCTCTAACCAGCGCCATGAGGCAGGTGTGATTGAAATTTGCATTAAACAGCCAGGAACATATGTGGTTCCCATGCCCAGCGCAGCCCAATCAAGGTGCTGGGGAGTGGGGGGAGTGGGGTGTAGATGAGACCTCTGTTCTGAGCTGAGGCTCTGCCCTCACAGGGACAGACACACCTAGAAGCAGCTGCATTTCTGCTCACACCTCTCCTTCCCTTTTTTGGTTTCTGTTTTCAGTGAAGAAGGAATTACAAGCAGAGGCCACCATTAGTGGGAGTACTGATTCTTCTGGAGCAAATATGGTAAGTTGGAGGAAGGGGTGATGAGTATGGGGAAGAGAACTTGGATGCATGAAAAGGGCCACATCTACAGGCATACACAGTCCACTCCCCTGGCTTCCTTTTGATTAATCAGTCTCTTCACAAATATTTACTGAGAGCTTATGTACTAGGCACTGTGGAGAGGGATTATACATGGATTATATGGTTTCTACGCTCAGCTTTCAGGCTAGTTGGGGGGAGATAAGATATACTATCTGTGAACTTGGTTATGTAACCTATGTAGGTCTCAGTTTCTCTATCATTAATTGATTTCAGAGATCCCTCTCAGTTCTGATATCTGCAAAACCTACATACCTTCATGAACCAATAGGCTATGTATAAGTATACTTCAGAAGACCCAGGATGGCATCCTGAGGCAGATTACCTTCCCCCACCCCCCCACACCCCAGTAGATTGGACCCAAGCCCCTGACCAATTTCTCCAAACTGAGCTAGGCTGCTCTTCAAATGACAAATTCATTCCCAAGCCTGTGCTTAAGTTTTTTCCAGCTTTGTGGGACCCATCAGGTCCCCTTCATGCACAAGGAACCATAAGAGAAGGGCTTTATACAATGACAATAATAGCTTACATTTCAGTACTCTTTTTTTTTTTTTTTTTAAAGACAATGTGATGGTGGCATTGATAGATCCAGGTTCAAATCAACCTCTGAACTCCTCAGTTCTTTGACTATGGGCAAGTCACTTAACCACTGTGGGGTTCATTTTCCTCATCTATAAAAGGGAGAGGATAAAAATCTTTAGACTCCCTACTCTCCAGGGTGGTTTTAAGGAAAGTTCTTAGTAAACCTTAAAGTGCTCTGCCCTCACACAATCTCAAAAGAAGAGAAAGTGCCCTGGAGGCCATCTCGATCCACTTGTACCTGGTCCAAAGTTCTCTCCAGCCTTCCCAACGGGGCCCACCTAGCTTCTGCCTCAGGGATCTAGGGGGCCCCGGTTGCTGAGGCAGCCTGCCTCGGTGTTGGACAGCTCTGATTGGGACCCCGTGTTTCTTGGTCCAGTCCCACACACCTGCCTTGCTGTAGCTTCTAGTTGTTGCTCACACACAGTAGCCCTTTACACACTTGAAGTCTTTTCTCCAAGCTAGAGATCACTAGGCTAGATGTGCTTTTACATGGTCCTCACATGGTTTCCTCACATGTGTTACCCTTTCTTGGACATGCTCCTGACTTTCCCAGAGTGGGGTGCCCCGCATTGCACATGAGCACAGCATTCCAGGGGCACTCCACCGACTAGGGCAGACTCAAGGCTGCTCCTTCACACAACCTCGCATCCCATTAGCTTTTTTTTGGCTGCCATGTCCCACTTGCCTAAATGAACTTCTGGTCCACTACCACCATAAGATCTTTTTCACAGGATCTGTTGTCTAGCCACCCTTCACTTGTCTTCTCTTTGTAAAGTAAGCATAGAACTTTACATCTGCCCCTATTAAATTTTGTCCAGCCCATCGTTCTGGTTTGTGAAGAGCTTTCTGGATCCAGACAACTTGAAAAAATATGAGTGGTTATCATAAAGTTACAAAACTTTGTGAGTGGATTGTGCTACTGCAGAGCACCAGCAGCTGAGTGTCTCGCCTAAGCCATGCAGCCAGTTAGCAGCTGGGTGGGAGGAAAGGTCTTATCTGCCTGAGTGAGTCTTCCCAGAGGAAGGATGGGCCTGGCCGTGTTCCAGGCGGAGTGAGGAGGCAAACTGGGATGAATCCCAAGGAGTCTGATCCCACCAGGAGGGGAGGGAGCCTGTGGCCCACATGCTCATTCTTATTTCTACCCCAGGTACCCAAGGCTAAGGAGGAGGGATCTTCAAACCTGTCTGTGAGTGGGGTTTATTTTACCTGCCCCTTCACTGGAGCCATCTTGAGAAAAGACCAGCGGGAGTTCCATATCAAAGAGGCCATTAACAAGGTGAGGAGGGGCTTGGGGCTTGGAACCCAACTGGCCTGCCCTTCCTCCAGCAGTTGTTGGGAGGAAAGTGCTTGTGTGGCTCATTCCCCTGGACAAGAGTAGACTCTCCTGTCTACAGTGATGACATCTATCTCGTTCTGTATATGTGAAGTTCTGGGCTTGGGGTCCTCGGACCTGGATTCAAGTCCTGGCTCTCCTGCTTTGTCCCTGGGTGACCTCGGGGAATCACTTCCCTTCTCTGGGGTTAATTTCCTCATCTGTAAAATGAGGTGGTTAGACTAGAGGGTCTCTGAAGACCCAACCAGCTCTGGCATCCCTCCAGATCTGAAGCTGTTGTCTGTCCCAAGTTGATTCCTTTAACCAATGCATAACACTTTACATTTATGCCTATTAAATTTCATCATACTAGCTTTGGGGCCGTGTTCTGACTTGTCAAGATCTTTTTAGTTCTTGACTGTCACTTGAGTTATTTATTCCTCTCGGCTTTGTATCATTTGCAAATTTGGTGAACAAGTCATGTTCACCTGTATCCAAGTTATTGGTAAAATTTTAAATAACACAAGGCCCAGGGCACGGCTTGGGGGCCTTCCACTGGAGACCCCACGAGAGCGCAGACCCCCTGTTTTACACTCAGTCAGCCGTTCCAAACCTGTTGATCCTCGTGTTCCCATTTAGCTCTCACATTCTGTCTTGTGTCCAGGAACACGTTGGGGGCTTTATGAAATGCTCTTCCAAAATACACCTGTGCTGCGTGGTCAGAGCACTCTGCTGCCCACTTCACTTTGTCCACAAAGGAAACCGGCTTAGTCTGGCATGGGAATGTGGCAGGAGGGCTGAAGGGGAGGCCGAGGGACCTCGGTCATTCCTGTGTGACATCAGGCGTGTCCTTCCGCTCTGTGGGCCTCCACTTCTTCATCTGTAAAATGGTGATGGGGTGGGACTGTGTGTTGCCCTTTCTAGCACCAAACCTGGGATCCAGGGACCTCGATGAAGCCACGCTGGCTCTCTGTGCCCGCTGACCCGTCATTCGTTTTGTTTGTTTGTCCTTCTCCACATCTGTGGTGCCCCAAGATCTTTCGAAGCATGTGACATTAGAAACAGTTTCATCAGCCTGAGAGGCAGTGTAGCCTGGTGGATAGAGCTGACCTTAGTGCCACTGGGCGGGTCACTTCCCTCATTACGCCTTAGCTTCTTTGTTTGTAAAAAGAGGCTTGTCAGACTTGTGCTCCTCGTCCACTAGGGCTGGTGTGAACCTGCAACAGAAATGAGTTCTTGTTGTTGTTGTCCCTTCTCTAGCACTCAGACAAAGACCCAGTGGCTGCTTCCATCATGAAGATCCATACGTTCAACAGGGACCGAGAGAAAGTGAAGTTGGGAGTGGACACCATTGCTAAGTAAGACTCTCCTGCCAAAAAACCTTGGGGCATTTTCAGAGTTGGCACGTCCAGTCTCTCTCATAGCAATAATAATAACAATAATAAAAGTCATTAACAGCATCTATAAAGCACCTACCATGTGCCAGGCACTGTGCTAAGTGATTTACAAATATTTTCTTATTTAATCCTTGCAACAACCCTGGGAAGAAGGAGGTCCTGTTATTATCCCCATTTTACAATTCAGGTAACCAAGGTAGACAGAGATTAAGTAATTTGCCCAAGGTCACACAGCTAGTAAATGTCTGAAGCCATATTTGAACTCAAGTCTTCCTGACTCTAGGCCCAGCATTGTGTCCACTGTGCCCTAAGATATCTAGCAGAGCACTGAGGACCAGAGAGAAAAAAATGATTTGCTGAAAGTCACCCCGAGTCAAAACTAGAATTTCAGCTCTTGGGACTTTATGCCTAGGGCTCTTTCCCCTGTGCCATTTGTTGGGGTTACCTGCGGCTCCAGGGAGTCGGGGTTCTCTGGGTTTTGTTGGCAAACAGAGGCCCCCTGGCTGAAGACAGGCAGAGGCTTTAGTTTGCCAGTGCTTGAGAAGAGTTTAGGAGGCTTTAGCTGTGTCTTGGTCTCAGTCCTGCCTAGGAGCAGGGGAAGTGATGGATAGGGATCCCACCAGGGGACCGGCATCCTCAAGTACCTAGGGCCACTCTAGGGGCAACTAAAGCCTCAGAACCCACGCAGCATCTCTTGCATGTTCCATCTTTGCTTCAATGGTGAGTCAATGCACCTTCCTTCTCAGTGTAGATACACAGAGCTTGGCACTCTGCCCTCTGAAACGTGGAAGAAGGAAAGGGAGCCATTTACCTGAGAGACCACTCCCTGCCCCGGCACAGCAGAGGCCTCCTACAAGGTGGCTTCAGGATCGGAGGCTGCTGGATCCTCTCTCCCTCCCCCCGCCCCCCTGTCTGTGTGTGTCTCTCTCTCACTGTCTCTCACTCTCACTCTCACACTCTCCCTCTCTCTCTCTCACCACACTCAGCCCACAAATCCCCAGGGAAGCAAAAGCACAGTAGTTGTCATTCATCTGGCAAACTGAGAAACCTTGTCTTTTTGGCCCTCTATTCAGGTACCTAGACAACATCCATCTTCACCCAGAAGAGGAGAAATACAGGAAAATCAAATTGCAAAACAAAGTGTTTCAGGTAATGTTCATTTCATCTCCTCCCTAGGATTTCAACTACAGTTTCCCTTCTCTCTCTTCACACTGTCATTACCCCAGTGCAAACTCTCACTGCCACCTCTGCTTAGACCCTTGCAAGGAGCCTCCTCACAGTTCTTATGGCCTTTCTTCTCTCCCTCCTCCAACCCACCCTTTCCATGCTACAGAGTAATCTTACTTGGGCATGGACCCTGTCACGGGAGTTTTCTGCTCACAGCCTTCCATTGGTTCCCTTCTGCCCTTCCTGTAAAGTTCAGACTGCTTTGCCAGGTGTCAGAAACCCACCACACTCTGGGTCGCCTGACCTCCTCAGACTTCCCACCATGTGCCAAACTGAACTCCTCTCTGTTGCATTTTCTCTTCTGAGCTCCTGCCTGTTCTGTAAAACACTGCAAATGCTCTTCTTCCGAGAAGCCTCCCTGCTTCTGCCCTTAGGAACAACCTTCTCTCTCAGGTCCTACATAGCAGTTTGTTATACTGTGTATTTTGGTGTTCTCTATGAGTCATAAACCTGGACCAGCCTGTTAGTTCCAAGAGGGAGGGGACTGTCTTATCTAAGCTTTGTGTTGAATCCAGGATAGTGCCTTTGCAAACAGGCTCTTAATACATGCATGAATTTAATTCTTTGGGAGAGGGCCAAGCTATTGCACCACAATCCCCCTTCTTTTTTAGGAGCGGATCAACTGCCTAGAAGGGGCTAATGAGTTTTTCGAGGCCATTGGGTTTGAGAAGATGACTCTCCCTATTCCAGAACAAGGCAAGGGGCTGGGATGGGTCATGGGCATCAGCTATTCCCAGCGTGGGGAGAGGGAGAACAGTCTTATCCAAAGGACAAGCTTGACAGACTAGGCCCTGGTCCCTTTGGGGCCAGAGGAGGGGCAGGGACTCGGCAGGCAACCTAAGGACCAGATGTTCCTCTGCAGAGACTTCTGAGGAGTACTATGTGCTGAGTGAGGATGCCCTGGCCCAGGTAGAGAAGCTGGAACAGCACAAAGTCGCCCTGCAGAACTCGGAGCCGGTGCGGGCTCAGCTGGCCCGGCAGCAACGAGTCTTCAAGCCCTCCCCTCTGGCTGCCCAGTTTGACCTACCTGGGGACTTCTTCAACCTCACAGCAGAGGAGCTCAAACGGGAGCAGAAGCTAAGGTTGGGCAAAGTTGTTTGGGTGGAGGGTACAGGGCAAGACCCTGCCAGGTGAGGTCGGACTTGGGTCAGGCCAAGCCTTCTGTGTTCTCCAGGACGGACGCTGTGGAACGGCTGAGTGTGCTTCGGACCAAAGCCATGCGGGAGAAGGAGGAACAGCGGGAAATGCGAAAATACACGTATACCCTCTTACGGGTTCGCTTTCCAGATGGGCACATCCTCCAGGGTAAACTGGCCCCTTTGTCTCCAGCATCCCTGGGACCAGTGGCGGGGAAGGGCTGAGCTGGTCCTGGCAGGCCTGACCACGGGAGACACACCAGCTCTAGGAGTGGAACAGGGCAGAGGTTTAGGAGGATGGGCAGAGGGCAGCCAGGCCATTCAGGTTGCTATGGTGAAGCAGAATGTACCATTTGTGCTTTTTTGCCCCATCCCCCACCCTTCTAGGTACCTTCTATGCTCGGGAGCGGCTGTCTGCACTCTACAGCTTTGTGAGGGAGGCGCTGCAGAATGACTGGCTGCCCTTTGAACTGCTTCCCGCAGGCGGGCACAAACTGTCTGATGAAAATCTAGCCTTCAACGAATGTGGGCTGGTAAGTGTTGAGGGAACCCTGGCCTCATTTCCTTGGTGGGGAACCCTTCAGTCAAGACCAAGTATATATTGTCTCTGATTCAGAAGCCTTAAGTCAGGCTTCATAGTTCACATTTTCTGGGAGAAGGGAGGGTTCTTCCTTTTTAAAAAAATGGTATTTACAAAGAGCCCTGGGCACGTATGGGTCTTCAGACCTGGCCTTGAGTCCTGACCTAGTGACGACTCACTGGGTGACCTTGGACATGTGGCCTCCCTGCTCTAGGCCTTGTTAGAAAAATCCCCTCTAACATTCTGTAATTCTGCATATACTCTAGGGTTCCTTTTAACTAGCCAGCACTTTTGCCATTCCAAATACTAGCTTTTTCAAATTAATAAAACATTTAAGTGCACGTTTTTCAGGGCCCAGGCTTTTATATAGCCTAAGGTCCAGCTCTCCACCTGCTCCCCACTCCCTGCTAACATTCAGTGGAACCCTTTGGATGGGAAAGAGCTTCTCTAGGCTTTCTCCAGTGCTTTCATTCCAGCAAGCCTATCAGGGAGATGGTGGGAAGCATTGTTATTCCCATTTTATAGATAAGGAAATTGAAGGTCAGCAGTTGGGATTTATCCATGGTCACACAGCTATTAAGTTGTGAAGCCAAGACTGGATCTGTGACCAGGAATCTTTCCCATGACACCATGCTGCTATCTTTAATGTTCGTCTTCCTGTCTGAACTCAGGACTGTCCTAAATCATTTCAGTCAAATGGAGGGGATTCTTGTAGCTTGAGGCCGATCACCAAGGCTCCTTAGGTAACCTGTGAGGAGGTAGAACTTGGGAGGGTTCCTAGAATAGTGATAGTTATTCCCAGCTGCCTAAAAACACCTGATTCTCCCAACTACCCAGTTTCAAAATTGTAAGGATGCATTGTAAAAAGCACTAGGTTTGAAATCTGAAGACCTGGGTAGGGATCACACACGCACGCATGCACACACGCACGCACACACGCAGCCTTAGGTAGAGTACTTCTGCTCAAAGCACATTTGCCTCTTCTATAGAACGGGACTAAGAATTTAGGTAGAAAAGTGTTTGATAAACCTTTGAGTGCTACAGAAGCATGCAGTGATATTGCCATCAAATCCCCTAGTGAACTGGGGGAGGGAGGAGGAGGGAGAGCAGGACAGAGGCTTCCCAACAAGCCCCTGCCTTCATTGGGGGCTGCTGAACAAATGGATGGGTTTGATTTCAGGTGCCTTCAGCTCTTCTGACTTTTACTTGGGACACAGGCGTCTTGGAAGACATCAAGGCATCGGGGGCTGAGCAGTCCCCGGAAATTCTGAAACCTGAACTTCTTGCAACTGTGGAAAACCTCGCATGAAATAAAACCAGGCTTGGCCTCGGCCCCATTGGTTCTGTTTCATGCTCCTCCCCTCCTGTAACTCCTCACCTTGTCCTTCTGTCTCCCAGATTCCAAGCAGAAACTGCCTGATTCTCATGGCCTTTTGCTTGGGGAGGCGGGCCATAAGTGGAGGTGGAATTAGTTCAAAAATGAGAAGAGTTGCCCTCTCAACATAGGCAGACTAGGATGTATGGTAGCCCTTTCCTTGCACCCTGACACTTTGGTTTTGGGACCATGGGGTCATAAGAGCTTCCCCTGATCCCAGAGAACATGGCTGGATATAACTTTGCGGAGGCTCCCCACCTATCTTGGAAAAGCCGAATTTATGCTGCTTTTTGTATACATGATTTTAAAACTTGCTGTAAGTAGCTATTAATGTACAGTTTATTTAACTGAAGGTATAGTTTGAGTAGAGAGATGCTGGTCATTTCATTGGTGGGGGAGCAAGTCTAGGGCATGAGGGAAGGACTTCCTTGGCTGATGGGATCTACTTCAGAACTGGGTTCAAATACTCTCTTATGTTCTTGTTGTATATAAAACGGACAAAGATGCAACTGGTATGTCACTACATGATACCTGTAAACACTAAATTATGAACTTGATTAAATAGAATATTTGAATACAACTTCCTGGAACTCATTTTTTCAAGGCAACAGTGTCTCTTTGAGACTTTTCTAACAGATCAATTGCTTGGTGGGAGTAAAGGATATTTTTGTGGACACTGGATGGGTAGACTTAGGATGTATTCTGTAATTGGGGATAAAAAAACCAACTTCCAACTTAAGTATTCATAGGAAAAACAATTCTAAGAAGAATATTTGTAACCCTTTTGTATCTTGTAACTTTCCCCAGTTAGTGAAATCGAGTAACAAGGAGTCACATTTGTAGGGCTCTTGAAGGTTTGCAGATCACTGTTTCTCACAACTGGGTAAAGTAGGAGAGTGCAGGTGTTGGCCTCATTTTACAGTAATGCATCACGTGTGATTGGACTGCTCCTGTGACAAGAGGGAGTGTCCAGGTGGGAGCTAGCAGCCTTCCGGTATTCTTTTAGGGAATGAGGGATTCCGCATGAATGAAAAAGCAAACTTTACCCCTGGAAGTGCCAGTACTTTAAAAAAAACCAAAACCCTCATCATTTGGAATGGTAACATTCATTCTTCAGTTGGATTATGCTCTTCTGTGCCTTACCAAACAATGTTCAACAGACCTGAATCTTTTCTGGATGACTCAGGGCCTTTGATGAGCTGTCTGAGGGCAGAGGGGTTATATTTTTTTGCTTTATTAGAATTAATGCCTATCAGAGGTAGAGTCCCTCAATATAAGGAAAAAATTCCTAACAATTAGAATTGTTTGAGTAGAATGGGTTTCTTCAATAGGTGGTAAGCATTCATCAGGAATTTTCATGGACTTGGGATGATCAGCTAAGTACAAATTCTGGCACGTAACTACTGAGTTGGAAGAGTATGGGACCAGCAATAAGATGACCTTAAAGGGTCATCAAAATGACCTAAGACTGAGTTGGAAGGGACCTCAAAGGCTGTTTAGTCTAACTTGTGCCCTGAATGATCATTTCCTCTACAGCATCACTGACGAGTGCTCATCCTCAGCTTGTAGGCGTCCAGGGAGGGGCAACTCACTACTCAGACCAGTTTGTTTCAATTTCTGGAGTGCTCTAATAAGTTTTTTTCTTCCATCAAACCTAAAATTGCCTCCCTACAAGTTCTATCCAAATTTCTGCCCTTAGCCATAGAACAAGCCTAATCCTTATTCTTCCACTTGTTCAAATGTGTCCAACTCTTTGTGCCCCTATTTGGGGATATCTTGGCAAAGATACTACAGTGGTTTGCCATTTCCTTCTCCATTTCATTGTACAGATGAGGAAGCTGAGGCAAACAAGGTTAGGTGACTTGCCCAGCTAGTAAGTGTCTGAGGCCAGATTTGAACTCAAGGAGAAGTCTTTCTGACTTCAGGTCTAGTTATCCAATGTGCTACCTAGCTGCCACTTGACAGCCCTTTAAATACTTGAAGACAGCTGTTGTGTTCCCTGTCCCCAGCCTTCTTTTCATCAGACCAAATATCCCCAGTTTCTTCAACCCATTTGAATAATGTATAGTTTCCAAGCCTTCCATCATCCTGGAAGCCCTCTTCTACAAAGGTTCCACCTTGTTGATGTCCTTTCCAAAACGGGGCATTCACACCTGAACATAGTACTCTTGTTGGACTGGGACAGCATAATAAAGCAATCATCGCCTTCACGTTGAATAGTGTGTGCTGCTTTTAAGGCAGCCTGGGATAACTGTTCTTGGTGGGCCTATCACTGTTGACTTGCATTGAACGTGCAACCCACTAAAACCCTAGAGTTTTTTGTTTTTGTGTTTCACAAGAACCATTACCTAGTCATATCTCCCCTATTCTGTATTTGAAGTTGAGTTTTAACCCCAGAATAGAGTTTTATCTTAAAAGATTTAGCCCATCATTCCAGCCTGTCAGTAGCTTTGGAATCTGTTGTCGTGTTTGATAATTTTGTGTCATCTGCAAATGTTACCAGCATACGTATCATCATTCATGTCTGATTAAAAAGGCAAAATGAGGGACCAATGACAGGTGGCTGTAACACCCTATAAAAAATTTCCTTCCTTGTTGACATTAACCCAATGACTAGTTTAGTCATTGTCAGAATCTAAGTATGCTATTTTTATAGCATTCACCTGATCTACCAGTTCAGTTTCTGTGAAAAAGGAAAATGAGGTTAGTCTGGCATGACTGTTTTTGATGAAGCCATTCTGGCTTTTCAAGATTATTGCTTTTCTTTCTAAGTATCTGCAAACCATCCCTTTCATGAGGTGTTCTAGAATGTCACCATTAATAAAGTCAAGCTCACCTTTCCCTCTGTGACATTTCAAAGATGGTTCAGAGTGGTTCTGCCATCACATTTGCCAATCATTTCAGTACTCTAGGATGTCTTTCTTCTGGGCCTATTGACTTGAACTCATTAAGACATCATCACACTGACTTCAGGTTTTCAATCTTACTATTTTTAATAGGACTGTACCTTTTTTTTTTCTTTTTTTTAATCTGAGTTAAAATTTCTCATGCAGCCACACTGGCCTCTTTTAGGCAGCTCTCTCTTCTTCCTCATCCAAATTATTTTCAGAATTCCATGCTTGAGACCTTTCCACACCTATTGCTGATGCTCCCTGTAGGCCACTAGAGACTACATGTCATTTCTCTGAATCCTATGAAATCTTCCCCTCCTGCTCACATGCTTCTGAGTGGTTGTAGCTTGAGGAAGTCACACAAGTGAATCAACTGGGTGCCCTACAGATTTGTTACTTCTCAAATGAGCTCTCAGCACAGCAAAGACCTAATTGATTTAATCGATTTACTCCCTAATTGATAGTCTATCCCAATCCACACAGAGGTTCTTCCAAATTATTTCTCTACTCAAGCTTTCCCTCCTATCCCCTTCTCCTACTCCAAAGTCTAGTTAACTAGCATTTATTAAGCATCTCACTGTGCAATCAAGCATGGTGCTAATTGCTAGGAATATAAATAAAAGCACACACACACACACACAAAATCCCTGACCTCAAGCTTGAAAGGAAGGCTTATTAGGGAAGTGAATTTTAAAGTGAAAAAGGTAAAATAATTCACATATGTGTGTATGTGTGTATGTGTATATATATACACACATACATATATATACACACACACATACATACATATATATAATTCCTTATCTTACATAAGATAAATAACCTTGTGAAACGGGTAGTGCAATTAGGGAATTAGAGAAGGCAACACATAAAAAGAATCTGAAAAAGAGAAGGGGGAACTGGAAAATAGTGAGAGTATGGTGGAGAAATAAGTCCAGAGAGTCAGAAGCAGAACCAAGGAGTAAACATGGTTGGCCTGGACGCTCCCTTAAAACGGAAGTCCTAGGACAGGGACAGAGGGATCTAAGTTAGTGAGAAAGCCCAAGGAACAGAGGAATAGGCACCTTCACACAGCTGGACCCTGTCTCATACTTGACTGGAAAAAAAAAAAAAAAGACCAATCCAGCACTGGCCCTGGAGTCAGGAGGACCTGAGTTCAAATCTGGCCTCAGACACATAACACTCACTAGCTATATGACTCTGGGCAAGTCACTTAACCTCAATTGCCTCCCCACCAAAAAAAAATTCACCGTGAGCCCCCTCTTCCCTTTGTCTCAAAACTTTTCCAATCATCTCTCATTCTCTCCTTTACTCCAGTCTGATGAAGAGATGACTCTTCTCGCCAAGCCCAGTTCCTTTACATGTAACCCTGATTCCATCTATCCCCTCCAGGCTTCTGCTAATTTCCCCACCCTCATTTTCCTCTCTAATCTTTGTTCAGTCATTCTTCAGTTACGTCTGACTCTTGGTGACCCCATTTGGGGTTTTCTTGGCAGAGATACTGGAGTGATTTGCCATTTCCTTCTCCAGCTCATTTTACAGATGAGGAAACTGAGGCAAACAGGGTTAAGTGACTTGGCCAGGGTCACACAGCTAGTAAGTGTCAGAGGCAAGTGTTTCCTCATCTGTAAAATGAGCTAGAGAAGGAAACTGTAAACTGCTTCAATATCTCTGCCAAGAAAATCCCAAATGGAATCACTAAGAGACTAAGAGTAGGACATAACTAACTGACTAAACAACAAGCACTTAATAAATGCTTGTTGATTAACAGCTTTGAAAAAAAAAAAGATGACCACCCACTTCCACCTCCTTTCCTCTTACTTACTTCTCAACTCTTTGTAGTTTGGCTTCTGACTTTATACCTCAATTGAAACCATTCCCTCCAAAGTCACCAATGAACTCAACTGCCAAATGTGATGGCTTTTTCTCAGTACCCATCCTTCTTGAGTTCTCTACAACATCTGACACTCACTGTTAACCATCCTCTCATGGATTTTCTCTTCTCTGCATTTTCATGACGCTGTACTGTCTTGGCGTTGTTGCTTCCATCTCAGGATTCCTTCTAAATCTGTACCATTTGGAGCCATCTCATGTCCTTTTATATTCTTTCTGACGTATACTCTTACTGACTTAATCATCTCCCATGGATTTAATTATGATCCCTATATGTTAATGACTCCCCAGTTTCTACATCCAGCCCTAGTCTCTTGCCTGTGCGCCTGCCACCTATCTCCAAATGCCTGTTTGACATTTCAAACTGCAACTCAAACTCAACACATACAAAACAGAACTCACTATTTTCCATGCAAAGTCCATCCATCTCCCAAATTTCTCCATTTCTGTAGTCAGTCAAACAGTATTTATTAAGCACCTATGCACCAGGCACTGTGCTAAATTCTGGAAATGCAAAAAAAAAAAACCACCCCTGCCCCTTAGAGAGACAAAAAGCAGACAAATACAAATGAGCTATGTACAGGATAAAGAGAAAATAATCAGCAGAGGAAAGGCACTAGAATTAAAAAGGATTAAGAAAGGCTTCTGGTAGTCTTTAAACATCAAACATTACTCCTCTAGCCACTGACCTGTAACAACTCCCATCTTTGGGCCTTTGCACTGGCCATCCCTCATCCCTGGGAGGTATTCCTTCCTTACTACCACCTCTCAGAATCCCCTGTTTCTTTCAAACTCA